GACGGCAGCAGCAGTGGCAAGCAGTGACGGCAGCAGCAGTGGCAAGCAGTGACGGCAGCAGCAGTGGCAAGCAGTGACGGCAGCAGCAGTGGCAAGCAGTGACGGCAGCAGCAGTGGCAAGCAGTGACGGCAGCAGCAGTGGCAAGCAGTGACGGCAGCAGCAGTGGCAAGCAGTGACGGCAGCAGCAGTGGCAAGTAGTGACGGCAGCAGCAGTGGCAAGCAGTGACGGCAGCAGCAGTGGCAAGCAGTGACGGCAGCAGCAGTGGCAAGCAGTGACGGCAGCAGCAGTAGCAAGCAGTGACGGCAGCAGCAGTAGCAAGCAGTGACGGTCCGAACAAGTGGCAAGCAGTGACGGTCCGAACAAGTGGCAAGCAGTGACGGTCCGAACAAGTGGCAAGCAGTGACGGTCCGAACAGAAGCAACAGCCAAACAGCCCGAGCAGAAGCAACAGCAGCAAACAGTCAGACAGAAGCAGCTTCAGCAGAATTGGTGCGACTTTTGAGAATTCTCAAAAGTCGCACCAATATAGCAGGCATGTTTCTTGCAATGGGGGAAACTTCCGAGCAGCGCAAGCAGCGTCGGCGGCATTAGGGGGCGGTGACAGGGAGAGGGCGGTGTGAGGGCGAGGGACTGGTGAAGGGGGGGCTGCTGATGGGGCTTGCGGAGGCATGTAAGAGCGCGTCAGGCGTTACTACGATGGGAAGGGGGCTGTTGACAAACAGGCTGTATATCACCACGGTGAGGTTCGGTAAACGTTGGTGTGTGAGGGTCGGTGAGGGGTGGGTATGTGTGTGAGAGTTGGTGAGGGGTCGCTGTGGGGTGGGGGTGAGTGTGAGAGTCACTCCAGGCGGTGAAAAAGGGGAAGGGGAGTGCAACGAAGGAGGGTTGGTGAAAGGAAAGGAGGGTGCGTGTCGGTAGCATCCTTGGAATTGGAATTGCAGGTTATTGAGGATGCTTTTGAGCTCCAAGGGTTTCTTTTAGGATCATCCAGAACACTCTGCAACTCTCGCTTCCCTCCCACCCTGGCCAACTACCCCGTTCCCACCCTTCCCAAACTCCTTCTTCCCTCCCCTCCCCTCATCCCTGACCTCTCCAGCTCTGCTTCGCTCCTGCTTTCTTTCCCACACCCATTTGCACCCCTAAGCGCACCCACCTTCTCTTTATGGCATGGGCGCACTGTTCATGGGAAATGCTGCAGCGAATGGGGGCAACCTGTGGGTTGCTGACGTGGCGGAGGTGTGTGAGAGGCTGCAGGCGAAGCTGGGCGAGGCTGCTGGGTGGCCCCTCGTGGTGTTCTTCTCAAAAGGCGAGTAGTGGAGGAGCGAAGGGAGAAGGGCAGTGATGCTTGATACTCAGAAGTAGTGGGTTGTGCTACTTGATGCTTGATACTTAGAAGTAGTGGGTTGTGCTACTTGATGCTTGATACTCAGAATAATGGGTTGTGCTACTTGATGCTTGATACTCAGAAGTAGTGGGTTGTGCTACTTGATGCTTGATACTCACAAGTAGTGGGTTGTGCTACTTGATGCTTGATACTCAGAAGTAGTGGGCTGTGCTACTTGATGCTTGATACTCACAAGTAGTAGGTTGTGCTACTTGATGCTTGATACTCACAAGTAGTGGGTTGTGCTACTTGATGCTTGATACTCAGAAGTAGTGGGTCAGTGGCAAATCAGTAGCAGGTCCGTGGCAGGTCAGTGGCAGGCCATCGTCTCTTCACCAATCTCACTCGCTCTCCACCTGGCCCCTACTGCTGCTCTCATTACTCCCACGCTATCCTCAATCCTTCTAAGCATTCATCTGGTATCCATAGTGCAGACAGTCAGACATCGCTCGCTCGCCACTCGCTCCGGCCTCTCTCGGTGGCTTCGTGCACCTCTCCCTTCTCGCCTGCCTCACCACCTCTGCCACCCTCTCTGGCGTCAACCAAACCTGGCCACTCACGCCGACCCCACTCCTCACTCCCCACACCCTACGCCCCATGCCCCGCGCCCCTTTTTTGTAGGAAGGGTACCACCACAACCCCCCCTAGTGCATCATGGCAGATCGTTACCGTACAGCGCACCACGATGCATGTGAAATGACTCGTGAGTCAGTGGGCAATGTGTTCAGCCATGAACCATGATGTGTGGGTCACTACTGCTTATATCTTTCACCCTGTGCCTTTCTTAATGTCACCCTGACATTTGAGTAAGGGTATGACTTAGCATAGCATTGCCCTGTACATGATTCGGACACACACCGTCGCCAAGCCTAACACCATCTGCCTGCCCATTTCCCAGTTGCCGTCTCACAGTGTTCAAACGCATTTGCATGGTTGGGCATCATGGTCCATGAGCTATGAGGCATGAGACATGAGGCATGAGGCATGAGGCATGAGGCATGAGGCATGAGACATGAGGCATGAGACATGAGGGATGAGGCATGAGGGATGAGGCATGAGGGATGAGGCATGAGGGATGAGGGATGAAGCATGAGGCATGAGGCATGATGTCCATGACATTGGTTGCCCAATGCCGCTTCTCAGTCCCAATGCCCATTGGCTTGACTTGGCCCCATCGCTTCACCTCATGACTTTCACTGGTGCCTCGTCTTCTTATGATGCTGCTGCTACTATTGCTTCAGATGTTGCGGCATGACCTGCAGCAGCATGTCTTTCCCGGACTCTTCCTGCTGCTGCAGGCGATACAAGGTTTAGTGTGCTTTTCCTTATTGTGATGCAAGAAAGAAACGGTGCAAGAGGATAATAACAAACAAAACAGAGGACAGTGGTACTATAAAGCAGGAAACGGGCAATGAAGAGGAGTGACAATAACGAGAAGCGAGTGGAAACCCCCCCACGGCCCCCCCCCAAGGCCCCCCTAAGGCCCCCTCTACCCCCCAATCCTCCTCACAGCCCCCTACACAGCCCCCCACACAGCATAGCCCCCCTCACACAGCATAGCCCCCCTCACACAGCATAGCCCCCCCCACACAGCATAGCCCCCCTCACACAGCATAGCCCCCCCCACACAGCATAGCCCCCCTCACACAGCATAGCCCCCCTCACACAGCATAGCCCCCCCCACACAGCATAGCCCCCCTCACACAGCATAGCCCCCCCCACACAGCATAGCCCCCCTCACACAGCATAGCCCCCCTCACACAGCATAGCCCCCCTCACACAGCACCTCACTTCACAGACCCCTCACAGAGCCCCCTCGGGCCGGGCCGCCTCTTGCACGCAAGAATCCGGTTTCTGTTTCTGTTGCTCCTGCTTGTTGCATCTCTGCTTGTCTTCCGTCCCTGCTTCTCTTCTTGATGGTCCCTGTCTCTATGCTCCTCTTTCTCTTTCTCCTCCCTTGCACTTCCTGTTACTGTTCATCTCCGAACCAACCAGACCCCGACCCTACAGGCTTGCACTGGCCTGTGCTCAAACCCACAGGCCTCCCCTTCCATCCATCCATCCCCGGGCCTTGCCCAAGCCGCCCCCACCCTTCCTCCCCAGGCATGGCCAGCACACGGCCACACCGCCTCATATAGCAGTATTTACAAAACAAGCACGAGGGAGTGCCTTGCCTACATTCGAAATCCATTCATCGCAACTAGGGACCGGATTTACTATCCTACTTTTTTCACAATGTCTTCAGAATGGCGCCCCACAGGAGATAATGCCACCTGCCCACGGTGGGGAGGGATGAGGTGGGGTGGGGTGGGGTGAGGTGGGGTGGAATGAAGCACGGCACGGATGGCAAGTGTGCGTGAGGGCAAGTGGGAGTGAGGGGCTGCCGAGATGGTGAAACACTCTACAGTGAATACACGGTGCAAGAGAGAAGAAGAGGAACGAAAAGCAGAAATAGTCATACACGCAACAAGAGAGAACAGTAGGTGTGAGGGGATGGTGTGTGGCAGGTTCTGAAATTGTGGCAGAGGTGGCGAGTGGTGGGGAGGAGAGGAGGTGAACAGAGGGGAGGAGAGGTTGAGCAGATGGGAGGAGAGGAGGTGAACAGAGGGGGTGTTGAACAGAGGGGAGGAGAGGAGGTTAACAGAGAGGGTGTTGAACAGAGGGGAGGAGAGGAGGTTAACAGAGGAGGTGAACAGAGGGGAGGAGAGGAGGTGAACAGAGGGGAGGAGCGGAGGTGAACAGAGGGGAGAGGATGATGAGAGGGGAGGAGAGGAGGTGAACAGAGGGGAGGAAAGGAGTTGAGAAAAGGGGAGGAGAGGAGGTGAAGAGAGGGGAGAAGAGGAGTTGAGCAAAGGGGAGGATAGGAGGTGAACAGAGGGGAGGAGAGGAGGTGAACAGAGGGGAGGAGAGGAGTTGATGAAGGTAAACAGAGGGGAGGACAAGAGGTGAACGGAGGGGAGGAGAGGAGTTGATGCGAGGGGAGGAGAGGAGGTGAACAGAGGGGAGGAGAGGAGGTGAACGGAGGGGAGGAGAGGTGAACAGAGGGGAGGAGAGGAGTTGATGCTAGGGGAGGAGAGGAGGTGAACAGAGGAGAGGAGAGGAGAGGAGAGGAGAGGAGAGGAGAGGAGAGGAGAGGAGAGGGGGTGAACAGAGGGGAGGAGAGGAGGTGAACAGAGGGGAGGAGAGGAGGTGAACAGAGGGGAGGAGAGGACTTGAGCAGAGGGGAGGAGAGGTGAGAATAGGGGATGGCGAAATGATGCAGGGCGGAATGAGGCAAGGTGGAACGATGCAAGGCGGAACGATGCAAGGCGGAACGATGCAAGGCGGAACGATGCAAGGCGGAACAATGCAAGGCGGAACGATGCAAGGCGGAACGATGCAAGGCGGAACGAGGCAAGGCGGAACGATGCAAGGCGGAACGAGGCAAGGCGGAAGAGGCAAGGCGGAACGATGCAAGGCGGAACGATGCAAGGCGGAACGAGGCAAGGCGGAACGAGGCAAGGCGGAACGATGCAGGGCGGAACGAGGCAGGGCGGAACGACGAAGGGCGGAACGAGCAAGGGCAGGGCGGAACGAGCAAGGGCAAAACGAATGCAAGCAGGCACGTGTGCTCTCTTACCAAGTGGCCGTGCCTTGGTGCCACTGCAGCGCCCCATGGCCGCCCGCATTAGCGCCGAGGCGTGCGGCGGCGGCGGCGGCGGCGGCGGCGGCGTTGCATTGCTTGCACCGGCTGGAGGGGGGTGAGGACTGGCGGGGCGGAAAAACGGGGATTGAGACCGGGCAAAACCAGCAAGGGGGAATAGAGTGGGGAAAGCGGCGGAATGAGGAAGGTAGGAACGAGGGGGAAGGAAACGGACAAGAGAAAGGGACGAGGGGAAGGGATGAGCGCGGAAACGCCTTGCTCTTCCGCCTGCAGCGCGGAAACTCCTTGATCTTCCGCTTGCAGCGCGGAAACGCCTTGCTCTTCCGCCTGCAGCGCGGAAACGCCTTGCTCTTCCGCCTGCAGCGCGGAAACGCCTTGCTCTTCCGCCTGCAGCACGGAAACGCCTTGCTCTTCCGCCTGCAGCGCGGAAACCGAGGGGAAATGAGGAAAGCGGAACGAGAGGGAAGGAACGAGGGGAGAGGGAAGGAACGAGGGGGAAGGAACGAGGGGGAAGGAACGACGGGAAGGAACGAGGGGGAAGGAACGAGGGGGAAGGGACGACGGGAAGGAACGAGGGGAAAGGAACGAGGGGGGAGGAACGAGGGGGGAGGAACGAGGGGGGGCGGAACGAGGCGAAGGGGGAACGAGGACGCCCTCTCCGGTTCCCAGCTCAACTGCAACCGAAACGAACCCAACTGCACTCGTTCACATCCCATGGCACCTTCCAGCCCGGCAGTGAAGAGCACGAGCTCGCCCAGGCGACTGGCGCGTCTAAGAACCTCCCGTAGCACTGGGCGCTCCAACACCGTCACTCGCGCCCTCTCCGGTTCCCCGCTTGCCCGCTTGCGTCCTGCGCACGGGGAGAAGCGGCCTCGACATGCATGCGCATCTCACCGTGACATGCATGCGCGCCGCTGCCTTCTGATGCGCGCCGCGTCCCTGTCAAAGAAACAAAAAAAACGTTCGAATTGTTACAAAACAATCGAATGATTGACGCAAATAAAAAAACAAACGCAAGCCTTACTATGCACACTGACCGGCAGGGAGAGCGTGATTTGTTAGCGGAAACAAATCACGTTATGCACAGCACGGGACGGCGCTTCACGCGCCCACGAACGTGGAGTGCCGCTACGTACCACCTTCGCCGAGCAGGACGCGCGGGGCGGCGTTGCCTCATGGCGCTCGATCCGCCATCTCCTCTGATGCCAGCTAGCACGACGCGATCCGGTCGTTGATCTGAGGCGAAAATCGACGGACAACGTCACGGATCCCGAGGAGCTTTTCGGGCTGGTGTGGAACCGCACATCCGATGGGATGTGCTCACGAGAACGAAGCCACTCTAGGTACCGCGCGATGAGAAATGCGTGTGGAGGAGGAATATACGAGAGGCGCGGAGAGGTCGAGAGAAAGGAGGAATGGAGGGAACCGTGAGTCAAAGAAAGGTTTCGCCCGAAGAAGAAGCACCGCCAGGATCCACGCCGAGCAGAAGACCAACCTCGGCGAGCGGACTCACGCTTATTCCTTACGATAGCAGCTGGTTTCGGCAGTCACTGCGTTTTTTGTCACAGTGCAGGCTCTGCTTTTACGCTGCCAGCCCGTGATCGCATCAAGACCGTCCGTGTACGAGAAATTGAAGGGTACTCGTAGCTTGTGAGAAGCGCGTGAGCTGGCACGTAGTAAGAAGCGAGTGCCAAACTAGACATTATTCTAAAGCCAGGGGGGACGAGGATCGAGAAGTGCGTGCAGGACTCAGGCGGAAGTCCCTTGTTACAGGGCGGAAGTCCCTTGTTTCAGGCGGTACTGACTGGCGGAAGGTGTGGGCGGCGGGAAGAGCAGCTCGGGGCCCGCTTACAAGTCGCGCTGCTTCACGACCAGCGCAACGGTGGGCGCTCTTCATCGCGCCAGCATCGGCGCTTCGGGCGCTCTTCACTGCGCAGCAACGGCGCAACGGAGTTTGTTCGATAACTACTTCGAAATTTCGCGACGCGACAGATCGACGGTCACGTCCGATACACGTCGCGCCGCCCTCCGAAATGCAGACGAAACGATATTAATGGCAATATCCGTGAACTACAAATGAAAGCGCGGGGCGGCGAAACGAAAACGCTGGAGGCGCGCATGACTATCTAACGGTCGCGAGGCGCGCGGGGCGCGCGAACAGACAAACGACTCGCGGATCTCACTAAGTCGAATGGAATACAAGCGGATTAGTGATTAAGTCTAGCTGCAAGGTGGGTAGGATGGAAGGAGGAGGTTCGACTGAATTGACTTGAGCTGTTTGGGCTGAGGCACGAGCGAGGTGGATGGGTGGGCAGGAAAATGAAAACGAAATTCTAAAGCATACACTTCAACCCCACCCCTCCCACAAAACGCTGTGTAACATGTGGGGCAGGGGCAAATAAATGGGAAGCACAAATAATACGTCAATCAGAATCATAAATTGGAGCCCATCATGGACAAATTACCCTGCTATGTGGGGGGGGTACAGATGGAACCAACATGCCCGAAAAAAAAAAAGAAAAAAAAAATCAAGCAGCCTGGAAGCGCAGCTGCAAACCACCCGGCTCGATCATTAGAGTCGTGGTTGGTTTTAGTCAAGGTGTAAAATGAAGCAGGCCAAATCTAACCAATCAGAACAAAAACGGACGTGCCTACATTGAAAATTGACAGTGCACCCCACTTTGAGGCTTGGCAGCTATCCAAACAATCGCGTTTTGACTTACAGCCACAAAGAGACTGCAAGGAAATGCTTTCTACATGAGCAAACATGCATAAATTTTGTACAAAATAAATATGTGCTGGCTTGTAATAACAGAAATAATTACAAGCATATGGTTATATAAACATGTGATACCAATAAGCGCATCGTGATGCTCAGCACCCATGAGTGGTGACGAGCGGTGGCGAGCAATTATGAGTGGCTCTGGTCGGTTCCGACTACTGCCGAGAGGTTCGTAGTGATAGTGAGCGGTGCTGAGCCATTTGGTGCGGTCGTTGGTGGTGCTGAGCGCCCATGAGTGGTGACGAGCAGTTAATAGTGGCCCTGAGCGGTGCCGAGTGCTGCCAAGAGGTTGAAAGTGGTAGTGAGCGGTGCTGAGCCGTCCAGCGCAGTCGTTGGTGGTGATGAGCGCCGGTGAGTGGTGGCGAACGGTAACGAGCCGTTATTAGTGGCTCTGGTCAATGCCGAGTGCTGCCAAAAGTTTTAGAGTGGAAATGGGCGGTGCTGGGCCGTCCAGTGCGGTCGTTGGTGGTGCTGAGCGCCTGTGAGTGGTGACGAGCGGTGACAAGCTGTTACGAGTGGCTCTCTGCAGTTCATAGTAATGCCGAGAGGTTCAGAGTGGTAGTGAGTGGTGCTGAGCCGTTCAGTGCGGTCGTTGGTGGTGCTGAGCGTCCGTGAGTGGTGACGAGCGGTTATGAGTGGCTATGAGCGGTGCAAGTGCTGCCAAGAGGTTCAGAGTGGTAGTGAGCGGTGCTGAGCCGTCCAGTGCGATCGTTGGTGGTGCTGAGCGCCCGTGAGTGGTGACGAGCGGTTATGAGTGGCTCTGGGCGGTTCGGAGTAATGCCGAGAGGTTCAGAGTGGTAGTGAGCGGTGCTGAGTCGTTCTGTGCGGTCGTTGGTGGTGCTGAGCGCCCGTGAATGGTGACGAGCGGTTATGAGTGGCTGTGAGCGGTGCCGAGCGCTGCCGAGAGGTTTAGAGTGGTAGTAAACGGTGCTGAGTCGTCCAGTGCGGTCGTTGGTGATGCTGAGCGCCCGTGAGGAGTGACGAGCGGTGACGATGCGGTTATGGATGGCTCTGAGCGGTTCCGAGCGCTGCCGAGAGGTTCGGAGTGGTAGTGAGCGGTGCTGAGTCGTCCCGTGCGGTCGTTGGTGGTGCTGAGCGCCCGTGAGTGGTGGCGAGCGGTGAAGAGCGGGTATGTCTGGCTCTGAGCAGTGCCGAGTGCTGCTGAGAGGTTGAGAGCGGTATTGACCGGTGCTGAGCCGTTTAGTGCGGTCGTTGGTGGTGTTGAGGCCCGTGAGTAGTGGCGAGCGGTATGAGTGGCCCCTGAGCGGTGCTGAGTGCTGCCGAGAGTTTCAGAATGGTATTGAGTGGTGCTGAGCCGTCCAGTGCGGTCATTGGTGGTGCTGGCGCCCTGAGTGTTGACGAGTGCTGATTAGCGGTTACGAGTGGTTCTGGGCGATTCAGAGTAATCCGAGAGGTTCAGAGTGGGAGTGAGTGGTGCTGAGCCGTTCTGTGCGGTCTTGGTGGTGCTGAACGCCTGTGAGTGGTGACGAGCTGTGACGAGCGGTTATGAGTGGCTGTGAGCGGAGCCGAGTGCTGTCGAGAGGTTCAGAGTGGTAGAGAGCGGTGTGAGCGGTTATCTGCGGTTGTTGGTGGTGCTGAGCGCCCATCAGTAGTGATGAGCTGTGAGGAGTGGTGAGAGTGGTTGGAGCGATGCCGAGTGGTAACGAGTGGCTTTGAGCGGTGCATGTGTTGCCAAGCGGTTCAGAGTGGTAGTGAGCGGTGCTATGCTGTTGTCTGCAATCGTTGGTGGTGCTGAGCGCCGTGAGCGGTGACGGAGGTGATGAGCGGTGATGAGTGGTGGGGAGCGGTGACGAGTGGCTGTGAGTGGCTATGAGCGAATCAGAGTGGCAGTGAGTGGGTTG